ACACAGCCTCTTCCCAATATGCGTTTTTGCAATTTACATATATGCAAAAACGCATAAAAATGAACAGAAATATGGCTGTCGTCCCTTGATATTACTTCTGGGATCACGACGATCACCCAAACTAATGGGTGTGGGGCCCACAGTGCTGCTTAGATATAGCGAGGCGGCGAAAGCAGCGAAGGTGGTCAATCTATTAAGACGAGCGCTTAAAAAAGTCATGGATCACGAAATGCTCGGAGTAACTCCTCACGACCACGTGAAAAGTCAGCCATCCTGTTAGACATACCACTTGCGAAATACTGTTCCGATCACAATGAAAAACATATGCACACGACATTTTGCCAATACACGTTCTGCATTTGCATAAATGTGCAAAAACGCATAATTAAAACTGTATGGGCAGCAAATGTTCTAGCATGGTGAAAGGCGGCCTATCGAACGGCCACGAAGGATTGTGTATCAAATACTGCAGAATGCCCTTCACTGCACCCTGAGTTATGTAACACAGTTCAAATTCAAGCTATTTTTATAAATTTGGAAGCGAAGAGTTGCCAATTCAAAATTCTACGACTACAGTTCACCTTGTACGAAACTGCTAAGTTTTCATAATCCACACCCCATTTTGGTAACTCCTAGGATTACAGGCTTCGAATGAAGTTAGCCATAGGCCATAAACTTTTGTTATGCATTGAACAAAAAAGGATAAAATCATTTTTCCAAGACATCTACGTCTAAATGCGTCTAACAGTTGTGAATCCACAGGTTTTCACGTAATCGCTCTGTTCCTCTCGTACGAATGCAAACTTATCTTGAAAACGATGGGTATTTTTGTGCGCTCCACATCACTGATTTTAAATCCGTTGTTTTGATTTTTACCTGTAAAATGCACGAGCTAGATTGCTTTCAGGTGTGTGATGATGCGGTTGTGCTTCGTGCGGTAACAGGGGCTATCACGGAACGGTGGTGGTACGAGCGCCTTGTGAATATGACGTACTCACCAAAAACCCGTGTTTTGTGCTTGTGGCGAAGGCATGAAGGAAAAGTACACATGCATAAGTTCTACACAAGAAAGGTAGCAAAATTTTATGTTGGTGATACACATCCTGTACCTGGATGTATCCTGCTAGAAAACTCGGAAAAATTTCCAGGATGGAAAACTGAGCTTTTTTGGACAACGCTTCTTTCACATTTAGCAACTGATTTATCTTTTATAAGTTGTGTCTAAATAACTAAAATAGAGCGCATCTCTTAGTTTGCAGTGTCGAGAGCTGTATGCCGCAATGAAGGAGGCTATGGAAAGGGCTGCTGCTCGAGGCAAAGTTGTCTTGTCTGGAAGAGATTTAGGTGGAGAATTTCCGATCCAGGAAATGGAATCAAATCAAGGCGGACTGTTGCAAGTGAGGATCGATGGCGTGGCTTTGCTGTTCGAAGATCGACAGGTATACCTGCTGCTTTTGTTTTTTAATGCTTTTAAAGACCAGTTTTGCGCGTTTTTTGCACCTTTGTTGAATGCAAAAACGTATATTGACAAGAAGTTTTTGATGTTTGTGTGTGTGTTCGGATTTTGCTATCGAATTCCAATATAGCAACCAAAGAAGCTAAGAAGCTGAAATTTTACAGAGCTTTCGAGAGCTAAGCATGATTCATGAGGATTTAAAAGTCTCAAATCCCTGCTTGAGACACGTCTAGATTTTGTTTACAAGCAGATGAAATCTCGAGCTGGAACACTGTTGGACCCTTTTAATTCGGAAATCGGATGTGCAAAGTGCAAAACCCCACTGTACCAAAACTATCGTCGCAACCACAGATTTACTCCCTTTCACGTCCCAGAAATATC